ATCGCCTGTTAAAACTTTTGGAAATTGAGGAGATGAATGTTGATATACGCTGCTCTGAAATTTGTAAATATCTCTTGATAAAGTAACTCTTCGTTTAAGTCTTGTTTCAATTGTATTATATATCTTGATAACTTTGCAATTGATTATTTAATTATTCAACGGACTTAATTTTATTTTATTTTATTTAACAATTGTATTTTTATTAATGATTATCTTTGTTTAATTGTATCGGTATGTGATCCTTAGCAGAGACAGCACTTGTTTAAGAAGGGTGGCCCGCCTAGAATAGCTTGCTAATTGCGGGTCACCTAGGTCTGTGATAATATTGTATTGCTAACAAATAAAATTGAATTGAATTGAATTGAATTGAAATGATCACCAACGAAAGAATCTTTTGATTGGCAAACAAATTCTCCTTGTTAGCAGCTTAGGAAATGTATAAAGAGCAGTATGGGAATATGTATACTGATTTTAGGGTGTAAAGGGTTAACTGAACAGACGCACGCACGAGAACGTGCAATAACTTTGTCAATCTGATTCAAGAGAATATAATCACTTCATAATCTGTTGTCTGATTATGGTATTTCGCTTCCGGATTGACGCTGACTGCGGTTACAACTTCTTTTTCAACCGCACACAATTGTATTTTATTGTTGAGCTGGAAGATGGATCCATTTCATTTGAAGTGGCCTTGTTATCTAAACAGCAGCCGCATTGACTGTTTTTAATTTCAATCCAAGTCACTTTTGGAGGAAGATTTTTACATTAAAATAGTACACCAAAATATAACCACACAAATATTCTGTTTATGGTAACTGGTTGGAGCAGAGAATATCGACGTATCAAGGTATCGTTGTGGATGAAAGAGGGTATTTTACACACGGGGAATAGGTCTGGTAAGCTGTACCTAAATGGGTCGATCAATAGAGCTGTACGCCATACTGACGAGGATCTAGTGCGCTGAGCTCAAGAAAGCTGTCTAAGGCTGTGAACTTTTAATGGTCAGAAGTACTCAACGTCACCAATCTTTGTGTCATTTGGGTACTTGATTATCTCCGTATCATTCCCAAATGTACAATTATACAACCATTTGGTTCGCAATATCTTATTAAAATAAAACCGATCCGCTGTTTGTGTAGAAAAGCTGACTGCAATACCTATGGGTAATGAAAAATCACTCAATGTTAAATGATCGAAGCTTCTTTGACACTTCTGGCGGCTACATGGCCAATTCTAAACTCAAATAATGCGAAATGCAAATGTAGATCATATATCATGGACGCAATGACGACTCCGAAAGCACAAATGAGGACTTAAATTATTTATTTATTTATTACAAGTTTTCTTCAACATACTCTGTCATTTCATGTAAAAATTAGCACGTAGGAATCAATTTCCTTGCCAGCCTCCACTAACGGGGAAGTCCTATGATGAAATCCATTGATAAAATGGAAAGTAGATTTTTAAACTAACCATCCCGTATAATTTTTCCTCTAATGAAAATATAGTTATGTTAAATAATACATCAGTTTACCTTTGAGAAAGACAGTTGCTCGTCTGTTTGTTAAATAATTTTACCTTCAACGGAAACAAACGCTGCATTTAATGGTATAATGGTGATAAAAAATGTGCTAAAAGGGGAAAAATTAAATCAATCAATTGTGGATGAAGAAGAATAATTAGTATATAGACAATTTTCTTCGACAAAAAACAGCTGCTTTGTTTTCACCACGTCCCGTACAGTTTTGTGAAGCCGATCAACCTGTATATTTCCAAAGGAGGACTCGGAAGAGGTGAATCTTCTTTTAAAATTGTTATGTTATTTATTTGTTATGTTATTATTTTTTTGGCAGAAAAAAGAAATAATCACTTTCGAAAATTTGTAGCATGCTCTTGATGAAATGTAGAATATTCGCTCATTAAAACTATAAATTTTTTATAAATGCACTTTTATATATGATGTTCATCATCTGTCCATCAAAGAAGCTTTACTGTGCCACAGGTCGTGCAAAATATCAACCCACGAAATATCTGCGACTTAAAAGCTAATTTTGTCTGAGGAAATGAGTAATTTTTAAGTCCCACGTGAGCTTGTTTTGTTGGAGACTGGCGCCAGCAACGCTGGTCCAATTCCGTGTACAAGGCCGGCCGCCACCTTAGCGCAATAAGTCGCTCTGTGTATGGGAGAACTGGTTTCTGGATCATTCATCCAAGTATTGATTAAAGTATGAATTTGAAACATGTCTGCCTTTATTGACATTCGTCCCTTTAAAAGAGGAGTAAAGGGGGTTAGTTTCTAGAGAAACTGTGATACTGTGCTGGTGGAAGGGTAGTACAAGGTGTTTTGGCTTTATCAATGTAAATGTAAATTGGCCTCCTTAGAAAAAATTAAATTATGAATTGTCCACTATCGATTCGCACTGACAAAGGACTGACGCTCGAAACGTCAACTCAAGAAAATTTCTACAGTGGCCAAGTTACATCATCAACTCAGTTGATAAAACCAGTGAAAGAAGAACAATTATATTAAGCTGAAGAGGATCCACTACAAAGTCATATCAATCAAGGAATCTTTTTCACTTGGGTTTCCTGTCTTTAATGGTAATATTCGGTTTTCCTCTTTCCCCTTTAATCAAGAGCGACACAATATCCGGAACTCCTACCGTCTGAAATTATTTGAATACCGTTATTGCAGTTGTTTATTTGTTGCAAAATCGAGACTCAAAAGCGGGCACTAATATATCGGATCTTTTTTATCAAAGGTTTGCATCCAGAACTTGTCATTTCTTGATGGTCGTTTTTCAGGTAAAGATCGACAATGCTGGTGATTTATGCATTTGTATCAATCAACTTCGATGCTGACGATTTGTCGTCGTTTGAAACTGAGGTCCATTAGGTCGAGTATTGTTTCGGAAAACGTAATTAGATCTTATACTCTTGATAATGAAACGTCGGCAGGCAGGCAGGCTCGGAAAGTGAACGATTCTAATCTTTCATTAGGTGATTTGTTTACATTGCTTCGGTTTTTTTAATACAGTTGAACTTCTGGTTTTCAAGGCGTGGCTTTGAGGCAGCAAGGGAGGCCAACTTTTGAACAGCTTTGATGATACTGGAAATAAACGCTACTCACGGTAAAAGATAAGGGTATGTTTCGACGAAAGATAACAGAAGTTTGGCGTGTTTAATTTTTTTTACGTGTTTAAAAGTTAATTTTCCTTCCAGGTTTGACACGTATCGACAGCAAAGCGCTAACGAATGATGAGTTGGCCAGCGAGTGGGCTCTTATTAGCGCGTGCCCGCGAGATCTCTATTAAGGGCCTGACACTAAGAGTGCCAGACTCGGGCAGCTCTCCTTGCGACACGTCTCAAATCTTATCCACGGTTTGTTGTTCTCGAGAGTCTAAAAAAAGAGGCTAAAAACCTGACAAAAATTCTACTTTGGAAGCAAATGAAATTCAAGCTTTTAAAAGAGTCGAAATAATCTTAAGGGAAAGGATAATCAAAGATCTTTTCCCCTCTCTCTTGCCATCAAATTTGCGTGTTTCGTAAGATTGTGAGCTTGAAGGCGATGCTGAAATACATGCAGAGCCATTTCGAAATTCACAGTTATATTTCGGATCAAATAGACTGTAATCATTTATCTTACTTGTTTTCGTGCATATTGAATTTTCTTTTTCTGAAATTTATTTTTTGATCGAGGGGAATAATTAGCGAACTTAAAATATTAAACGGGATCAAATTGCATTTTCAATAAGATAGTCCATGGATTTTTAAATTTTACTCATAGTGTGTATTTTGACTGCGAAGAAAAAGCCTAAATATGTATTATTCGATTCGCTTAACTTGCAAAACAAACAAAAGACAAATGTCTGTTTTTTCATTCGTGTGAACGGTGGGCCCCAATAAAACTTAATATTTTGGTTCCGTTATATTTGCTGCACCAAAAAATTATTTTCTTACGAAATTCAGAATAACATAGAAGGTAACACATCGTGAATGAAGCCATTGTTTTGTTTTCATAAAACTGTCACCGATGAGTGAAGGTCTCTCTGCACCATAATCTATCATCAAAACGGCAAATTGATTAAAAAAAAGCCAGGTAACTTTGCCATATATTTATGTTATTATAGTTTTACAGAATTTCGAATGCCGCTTTACTGTATTAGGCGCACTCCAGCTAGGTATTGAATGTTTTATGCGACCGGCGAGCGGGTAATTTTGAATCGAATTGAATTGACTAAACTGCAAAACACCATAGGAAGGCTTACAAACATGAACCGAGAAAATCAGTCCTTTTTTTTCTTCATCAGCCTACAAAGTGGGTTTTGCTGGAAATAAAAAGTCAACCTCAGAATGTGTAAGAATATGGAACAAACATTGCAAATCAGGAGACCACAGCTCACTGACACGCCACGGCAATATGAGTTTTAAGTTACGTCTAAATGTGACGAGACGAATTCAAAACCACCTTTAAATTATGCAAACAAAACTCTGTTGTGTCGGCTCCTTTAGCTGACAGTTTTCAAAATTTATAGCAATCCATCCGAAGGATTATTCAATAATAAATATTATGAGTAATTCCTAACTTAAGTAAATAAATTGCTTTCGAGGCTATTATTTGTCTTCTATACATTAGCTCATTATTCCTGATATTTAAGTTATTAGAAACACTTGAGGATGGGTAAAGAATGATTGAAAGACAATTCGTCGCGGCTCTGGAAGTTTTGAAATACTATCAATTTTCAATAACTTTCGTAAATTCGCCATAAATGTGGAATTTCAGAAAACACCAAAATCTAACTGTCGACATCCAATGGCACAAAAAACGTTTGATTGATTCTTAAAGGTAAGAGTGCAGTGATACGCAAATTAGCTACCATGGATTAAGTTTATATATCTCTTTCTAGAAGCAGTAACACAAGTCACCTGTGATAGACATTTCCATGTAACGCTCTTTTTCAGCCCCTCAAGAGTTATCCAACGCGTGAAGTAACACAGAAATGTCGTTATTTACCAACACTACCACAAATGGAACCAGTATTACCGCCGAGAACGCAATTGAACAATATGAAGAACCAAAAGCTCTGTACATTTTCCGTTTAACCCTGTTCTCCGTGATCATCTCGGCCAGTTTAATCGGCAACTCGATGGTTTGTTATGCTGTGTGTACCATACCTTCCCGCAAGCCTCTGTCCTACCATCTCGTCGCTAACATGGCCTTCGCAGAAATTCTAAGCAGTGTTTGTTTGGCCGTCATGTTTGCGAGCTGGCAGAATCCAACTGACGTCGTTCTTCAAGAGGCCGCATGCATTTTGAATCCGTTGCAAGTAGTTGCTCTTCTCGTTGTGATCTACTCACTGGCTGCCATCGCTTTTTATCGTTACAGATTCATTGTAAACTCTCTTCCACGCGGACCATTCGTTAAGAAGATTACAATTCTGACCATATCTGGGCTGTGGCTGTTGTCATTTGCAATCGCCTGCCCCTTTTTCTTCGGTCTCAGATTTAGAAATGGTGTATGCATCGAGCTGCCTGTCGTAAACAATGAGTACTATGTAATAATTAGATTCATCCTAAATTACGCTTTACCTTATGTGATAATGCTGGCATCTTACGGAGCCGTGGCGTGGAACCTGAATAGGCGGATTGGACAGATAGAAAAGAGGACCCGAAACTCGACGGTCGCATCAATTGACCAAAATCAAGCTGAACTCGAAGTTATGCAAGACAACGAGCAGCAAAGATACACTCCATGTGAGGAGAACGAAACAAAAAAAAGAATGGTTGAGCAAAAGAGCCGAAGAGGTACTAAACACGAAACTACAGACTTGGAGAGAGATTTACTGAAGATGATTTTTGTACTTATTATTACTTTTGTTGTTTGTTATTTTCCTTATCAAGCCCATTATGTGTGGGAAAGAGTTTGCAACATCACTGCGTATCAATTTAAATATCATCAACTCTTTATTGATTATAATTTTATTTTGATTTGCCTTCCCAGCGCCTTACATCCTTTGTGTTATGGAACAATGAACAGTTTCTTTGCTAAGGCGTTCTCCAAAATTATTCTCTGCAAATCCGTGCAATCTTAAGCGAAAATTGAAATAGTATATTTGTATATTAAGTGCATGTGTGGTCCTCAGAACCTGACCAGGTTAAGAATCGCAACTCAAGCTAGCTTATCGCTTTTAATAATGGTAGTCATCATTAGCAAAACTCTTTTTAACCAATCTGAAGATCAAGATGTGAAAAGTTTATTCTCGTGCATATTTCGATAAAGTTTTGATATTTTACTTGTGTAAAGAAATGCCATAACAGCACAGGATTATATTTGAGTGAAGTAGCATGGCTGGCGAGGAAACGCTAAAAACGTAAACTAATCTTTTTACACTATGCAAAACATGGAATAAAGTAGAATTGCAGTACCTCCAGTAAAAGTGGTTGACATCTCCAATCCAACTTTTACCATGAAGTCCTGTATAGGAAAGATTGACTAATGTAAATTCTCAAGAACAGATTCTTATTCATCTTTAATATTGCTGACCTATCTTTCAACGTTTCTCCCCTGGACTAAGAAATACCTGGGAAAATACCTGGGAAATTTTCGACACTTCTTTGGCTTTTCTTAACATCAGAATTTCAATCGAAGGCAACGGTCTACGTACTAGTGTTTACTACAAACCTACAGATTCACAGTTACTTGTATTCGTCTTCGCATCCATCACACATCAAGAATTCCATACCTTTTTCACAGTATCTCAGACTTCGTCGTTTATGTAGTGACGACTCTGATTTTTCCGAAAAATTAGAGGCTATGTGCCAGTTTTTCAATAAACGTGGCTATCCTTCGGTTTTTTTCGTTCAAGCGGGCCACCGCAGGGTCCAACAAATTGATCGACAGTCGGCACTACAAACGATTGAGAAGGAAAATACTGATCGCTTTCTTTCACTCTAACATTTCATTCTGACAACCACGCAGTTACATGGGCGCGCGTAGATATGGAATTCACCTTTTGGGCTTTAGATTTCACGTGTAGTGTCACGTGACATTTGATGTAAACAAACCCCGAAAGTTCGGACATTTAGTCGAGCTCGCAGCACATGTGTCCAAACTTCGGCTTTGGAAATTATTCTTAAATAACAGCCCACTTTCAAAAAACGTTTCTTCGCTCAAAATTGCGATCTTTCTTTTATCATTTATCTGATCGTTTGTCAAGCAAATTGTCATTTCGTTGCCGTTGAAGCAGATGCGAAGTATGTTACAGGAAGCGTTGCGGCATCGCAATCATTGTAGGCAGGAAATTAGTGCCCACGAATCGCTGTAGAACGGGAGGAAGCCTTGATTCCCAAAGATAAAACCGATTTCAACTCTATGAACGTGTACGATTGCAGTTGTTTAGTATGTGTATACCTAAACATAATGGTTACGACAAAGAGATATGCTTATGGCACCTGCAGAAACGATTCACGATACCTCAACTCCTGGGTAAGAAACGCTAACGGGGACAGTTAGACAAAAGGAGAGAATGCAAAGTTGGATAAGGTCATGTCATCGAGGTGACTAGTTTGAGTGCACGACGGACAGCAACGTTTGTAGTCTAAATTTTGTCGGTGAAAATGGGCCAACAGAAGAGGACCCTGATCCCATATCTGCTGTAGCTAGTAAAGAAAGGGTAAGTTAATTCAGTCATTCTTTAAATCGTTGTTTTGTCTTTGGGATAAATATGTATACCATGCCTAGATGTCGCGACTCAATCGTAAACGGAAGGTATCTTGAGAACGAGAAGCAGACAAAGGGAGGTGCAGGAAAGTTTGCCTTGAACGATCAGTGGCAAAAACCCTTCTGGCACTTGATCGTCAAAACTGGTAAATCGAAAGAGGAATACGTAGTAGTCAAAGCCCTTTTAAATCTGAGCGTAGAGCCAGTGATGAGTTCAGGAGAGCAAATCAAATTATTAAAATGTCGTACAATCCAAACGGCAGCTACGCGTTAAAATTGTCAACAGTCTTCAGGAAAAATGGATTGGGTATTAGCATATTATGAATTATTAATTCTTCTAAAGCAGTGGCGTCGCATTTTCGAAATTTGGATCCACTGGCAGAACCATTTTTTTGACTGCGGAGGTGACTTCCACTAACGAGGTTCCAAGTATCCTCTCGCTGAAATCCCCCGTTCTTGTTGATATTTTTTAAGCTATGCCACACTCATTGCGTTGAGTCAGCTTTACTTTGTGATCTGCCATTCTTAAGTTTAACTCTTCTTGAAAGTTGTTCTGAGTTTCGCAGAATTTCCTACTTGAGTTACTTAAGGTTAAAAAAATCGGTATATTTATCAGCTAAGGAAATCCACACCCAGATGCGCAATTTCGTGTGGGAATTAAGGCTTCCTCACGTTCTACAGCGATTCGTGGGCACTAATTTTTAGACAGAAGGGATTTTATTTAACAATCTACGTACACAACACACCGAAAATACCTGATCAGATACATCACTGTACGCAGAACTAGTTCGATTATTCCATGCCACAATTCTTCCTGTAACATTCTTCGCATCTGTTTCAACGGCAGCGAAATGACAACTTACTTGATGAACGATCAGAAATGATAAAAGAAAGACGTCAATTTTGAGCGAAGAACACTTCTTTAAAGTGGGAAGTTATTTAAGAAAAATTTCCAAAGCCGACGTTTGGACACATGTGCTGCGAGCTCGACTCAATGTCCGAACTTTAGGGGTTTGTTTACATCAAAAGTCACGGGACACTCCACGTGAAATCTAAAGCCCAAAAGGTGAATTTCTCTTCGAGTATATTGTTATAATTTTACAAGAAGTCTGAGATCAGGTTAATTCCTGGAGTCTTAAGAACAGACTGGTTGTCCACGAAGGTAAATTCGAAGCGATGATTTCGAGCACTAAGCCCTTCATAGGTCCTATGAAACCTCTGAAGGGGGCGACGACATCATTTGGTATGTATCCTCCTCTGAGTGCCTCGGAGTTACAATCGATGACAAATTATCTTGGTCTCAGCACTGATCAAACTAACTTGTTCTTCATTTCCCATGAAAGTTAAAATGCTGAGACGTATAAGTTATCTACCCAAATCTAATTTAAAAACTATTTACTTTAAGACAGTAATCCCAAGTGTCTTATATGGAATTATGATATGGGGGTCTGGCACCAAACTTAAAGAACTAGAAATGAAAACTATTAGAACTGCTAGACTGATACATAAATTACCAAAATGTATGAAGGATGATGATATATTAGCAAGAGTTGGGTGGATGCCTCTTGAGTATTTCTATAAGTTTCGTATTCTAACTATTACTCATATGGCATTTTATGGCTTGGGCTTAAATGAAGTAAATTCCTTGGTTGTTACGTGCTCCAATAGTTAAAATCTCAGAAAATCGCTAAATATTTTAATTGATAGACCTAATACGGAACTTGGCCGTAGTTCTTTTGTACACAGGGCAGCAATTGCATGGAATTCATTACCGGATAATTTAAGACACTTTTCCGATCCAATTGCTTTTAAAAATAGGCTTAAAAAGGCAAAAAATGATGTTGTAAATATAAATTTTGGAAAGGGGGTGGCTCTGTTGTTTATAATAAGAATTCAACATTCTACTATTTCTGATATATTATGACGCATTTATATTTGTATTCATTTTGTTTCTTATTTAGGACTTAACTCTAGGTTTATTGATCTTATTTTACGTTTATTTATCTTTTATCTTAAAATATAGTAGGTCCACATCAGCTGTAAGGTTGCCATTTTATAACCTACCTATCAAATAAAGATATGATGATGACAATGAAGATGACTCGATAGCTCACGAGTGATCGCAGCGAACGAGTCAGACGTCGAGTTGAACACGAGAAGAGAAATTTTATATCTATGCGCGTCCATGTATTATTTTGTTTATCGTATAAACACAATAGCCCTTTATTGACAAGAAAAGTTGGACCAATGAATGAAAATGAAAGGATCGACAATCCCCGAATAAAAATCGCAAAATGTGTTGGCAGCAAGCCTCATGATGAAAAAGCGCGTTGAAACACTACAAAAACAAACAATGGGCATAATTTTCAAAATACAGAATCCTTCTTTATTGACTTGGTCCTTACCAACAGAAGTAATCTTCCAAAATCGGCCTGAGGTAAATCTTCCATTTGATGATTTTCGTTCTCAGCCGCGAGAAATGCCATTACCAAAGAACACTGAATACGTAACTTGCCGTTTTTCTTTCCGTATTTTGGTATTTGTCCCCTTCTAGGAAAGTTTGAACGTCTCTGTCTCAGTAAGCGAAACGGATTTTTCAGTGTTTTAGAAGCCATAATCTGAAAAAGTTCCAACAAACGACCTTGGATTGAGAACAGTGAAGGCTACACCGTTCATTCACCAACCTGACCGAGTGGCGCGAAAGGCGAGTGACGTGTCAGCAGCTGATTGGCGATATCAAACACACGTGAAAAAGTACGATATTTTTTCACGTGTGTTGTTACGGCTTTTCTTGGGGCTGGAAATCCTTGTATAACATCATAGTTTATATGATAAAAGTTCTTATTATAACATTTCTAACGTGGATAGCCGCCTTTGAATCAAATCTTTCAAAGATGAAGTTGGCGTTACATTGCCATGCTTTATGACTTAGATTGGTTTAGAAAATTTGCGTCACCCTCCCGACCAACCGCATGATAGATTAAAACCAATCGCTAATCGATTACTCGTGTTTTCCCGCGCTCTCATTGGCTCCACGGGATGTTTATCTTGCCGGACCATCGAAATTTTTTTATGAATTAAATCGAAAAATGTTCCATCTTATTTCGGTGGTGAATTATTGATTAGGTTAGTATGGTATGTTGTACAGTCGGCATAAATTTCGACCTTTCTTCGAATCGTTTCCATAAATCGATATTTCAATTTTTAATCTTAAATGAGCTGAACAAGACTTTAGAATACTACCAAGAAGCTGCCTAGTTTTTATTTCTCGGAGATTGTGCTGTGAAGAATCTTCTGCTACTATAAAAAGCAGTAAGCGTTACGAGTACTCTATATAACGCAGGTATTGAAGCAAAATTTCGTAGTAAGATA